CCGAGTCCCTGCTGGTGGCCCCTGATAAGGCTGTAGGCAGCCACAAGATCCCCCCTCAGTCTCCTCTTGCAGAGACTGAAGAGATTCAGGTCCCTCAGCCTGTCCTCATAGGGCTGGCCACGGAGGCCCTCAACCATACGAGTGGCCCTGCTCTGGACCTTCTCCAGGTTCTCCATGTTCCTCTTGAAGTGCGGCGCCCAGAACTAAATTTCAACACTTCAGAAACAGATTTCTGAAAGCAAGTACGTATACACTATACCAGAAGTTTTCAACCTGTGATCCATGGACCCGTAGAGGTCTGCAGACTGTCTAGAGGGTCTGCAACAAATGACTACGATCAAAAGTATGTGAATACCAACACTTACAATTCAAAGGGGTCCAACATGTCCATTTGATATTTCCAAAGAGGTATGTACCTCCATTCAAAATTTTTAAGGATTTACATATGAAAAAAGGTTGACAACCACTATACTATATCCATCTTGCACCTCTTAGACATCTACGATTTTTATGACTTCGATGGAAATTTTGCATGCCCACACTGGTTCATAAACAGCAAAATATTAAGATTTTAGATGTACACCAAACCCACACTATCACCCCTAAGGCATCGCACCAGTTCAGATAGTAACAGTATGTGCAGCTTGACTGGTCTAGAGAAACTGACACCAGATGTTTAAAGAGGTAGTTATCCATGTCACTACCTTTAGAAATCTTATCCTAGACTCCTAATATACAGAAGATCATAGGAATATTACTGAATGTATTCTGATAAAAACAGAAGAGAATAGCAAAAAAGAATCAGGAGTGCACACTCACACTGCTGGAAGGATTAACAGGAAAAGGAGACACATCTTTGACATTGATTCGCTGAACATTTTCTACTAGCAATCCAAACAATGGCAGATACAAAGTAGCTATTCTTGCTTGGTGGCTCTAAAAACAAATTCATAGTCCTTATTAGCAATCAGTAATGACACCAGTGTTTTTATTAAGCAGTAGGAAAGATTTGCAAAATCAGGATTAAAGGACGTATCCATTACCTTAACAATACACAATGACAATCTCTACTTTCCCCTTGGTGTGCCATTATTCAAAGGGATGGCCATTAAAATTTACAAAACAAGGAATTTCTTCCTTGTTAATTACATCTATCACAGGAAAAGCTACAGTATTCAAATGTGGTTTAAATTAGTGGTTCTCAATAAGGGGTGCTACAATAAGGTTTCAGGGGATCTGGCCAGCCTGGCCCAGCACATGGAAGAGCTGCCATGGCTACCTGGGGTTGAAGTTTATCCCAAAGAAGGAGCAGGCCCACCTCACCCAGCCCCATAGCCTCCATCCTGCAGGCAGGTGAGACTCCGCATTGCTGCTGCTCAGGTTACTGTGGCCCTGGGCCTCTTCATCACTGAGCCCTGCCCGCTATACCTAGAGTTGTAATGGCAGGGCTGGAGGGTTGGGCAGTTGTTGTGGCACAGGTGGGCCACGGAGTTTATGCTGGGGGCAGGGCTCAGGAAGAAAAAGGTTGAGAACCTCTGGTTTAAACAAAATACAGGAAGGGTCAACCTAACATTATGTGAACTTGAGTAGCCCATCAGGTCTGCAATCAAAGTATCACGGCTTCTCCATAGTACAGTTGTTTCCAAATTAACAAACAAACAAACAAACAGGAAACTTCAGAATAATTCAGTGTTTACTACTACAGCTAATTTTATTTAAATCAACTATTTGTCATTCAAATAGATGATGGGAAGATTGACCAAAAGTAGTTGTAAGCTAATTGCTAATGTTCACTAAAATAAATGTGTTAAAAAACAGTAATTTTTTGGTAAAAAATCCTAACAATCAATATTCATTCCAATTTAACTGCAATGCAGCAATCATAAAACAATTTAGCACAATGAAAAAGTGCATGCACTAACAAGCAGATACAAGTGCAGAAACCAATGTTTTAGCAACATTAGCTATACATATCCTCATATTAAAAACATTTATGGTCTGTTGCTACTATGTCTGCAAATTAATAGAAACAAAGTTCTATTCATAAAACCTTAAAATGTATATTCCTAAACTTCTAACACTTCTTACTGATGACACAGCAGTAACTTACCCTGGAAGCATATCTATCATCAAAAGAATGCTTTATCATCAAGTTCTTGAGCACACTAATTGCAATCTGCCGGATGTCTCTGAACTCTTGTAATGCATTTCCCACCTCCCTCAGGAGTAGTCCTACTAAGAAATGATTCTTGCAAAACTCATCTGTTAATGAATAGTCAAGCTGAAGGTCTGAAAGTAGAGTACAAGTTACAGTTTAGGAGTGGTGCAATTAATATTAATTTGCAAAGTAATTTCCCTCCATTCCCCTTCGTTCAACTTCATTTATAAAGATAAATCAAACATATCTCGTGTGAAAACCCACCTTAACTTCAAAACCATGTATGTGCATTAGATTATTACTACATGCTATGTATTCATTGAGCATATAAAAGCCAAAGAGTTAATGAAATCTAAACACTACCATAAGCTTTTAACAAAAAATTCCCAGAAACAGCAAAATGGAACAAGTATTTAAATGTAAATTATTTTTAATTCACTTGGGCCAGAATTTGAGTTCAATGTCTAAAGTCAGTCTTCTAACTGTGTATTTAGGCACCTTAGTAAGAGGCCTCACATGCAGGGGATGTGCCCCCATTTTTTTCAATGGCAGCAGTAGGTGTCAATATCTTTGTATAATGAGGGCACTTCTTGGGCATCTGAGGCCCATTTGCATATTTTTGAGCCGCTGTACCTGTCCAGAGCCACTTGCAAGAGTATGAGTTGCATATAGATATCCTACTTCACTTTTAGATATTTAAGTTCTTTAAAATCTAAATTGGCTGAACTGAGTACTTATTTGCAGGACTAACAATTTACTGCTTTTTTTCTAGCAAGTAAAAAACTACATAAAACTTTGCAGTAGATATTAAAAATGTTTCATGGAGAAGCATTGTACACACAAAGAAAAGGACCCTAAATTAATTAAATTTATTCTAAAATTTATCAGAAACATACGAATGTAAATAATTGCTAACCAGATCTGAAAAATGATTAATTTTAAATAATCTGTTAAAAAAAATCCCCTCCCCCGCAAAACTTGCATTATTTACCTGTATTATGTTAGTTTTACTTTGGACAATTTTCCATGACTATGCAATATAAGATTTTTTTTTAAATAATTTTTAGATTACCTTTGCATATTAAATAAAAGAGTGCCACTATATATAAAGATTACACTGAAAAGTTTTTTTTAAAAAAGTAACTCACACTGTGATAGATGCACCATATTTTACTCTTAAAACATTAAGATCTCTAGTAGTAATTAGAATGAAAAGCAAAACTAAACTATACCTTAATCAAATTTATAGTCACAAATATACAAATGCACATAAGAAACAAAACACCAAATAAAACCCAACAATTTTAATGTGCATTTTTCAGAGGAATAAAAGCTTAAATCTATCTACTTTAAGATACTGTATGTAGTCCTTCCTTCCTTCTTGTGTCCTTGTTGGGACAAAGTATTTTAAGCAGCATTCACAGATTTGTTGGAATCTGACAGGGCACCACCATAAGAACTTCTGCTATGACCCTGAAGTGAAGTTGTGAGAGTCCAGAGAAGAGCCATGCGCATGATGAGAGGTCAGAAAAACAGATCTTAGGACAACAGGCTGAGAGCTATGGGGCTCTTTAGCCTGGAAAAGTGCAGGCTCAGGCGTGACCTGATGGCCACCTATAAGTTTATCGGGGTGACCACCAGTTTCTGCGGGAAATGTTTGTTCACCAGAGCTCCCCAAGGGATGATGAGGTCGAACAGTCATAAACTACTGTGAGACCGTTTCAGGCTCGACATAAGGAAGAATTTCTTTACTGTCCGAGCCCCCAAGGTCTGGAATAGCCTGCCATTGGGGGTGGTTCAAGCACCCACACTGACCAGCTTCAAGAGTAAATTGGATGCTTATCTTGCTGGGATCCTATGACCCCAGCTGACTTCCTGCCCTTTGGGCAGGGGGCTGGACTGGATGATCTTATGAGCTCCCTTCCAGCCCTGATGTCTATGAAATCTATGAAAGTCTACCTCTGGGCTGGGCATCTGAGTGCCTGCACCACCCTAATCATAGTTCTAATTATGTTTTTTTGCTACTGGGGGTTATAAATTTTTTTAAATGTAGCCACAATATTAGAGGGACACCTTTATTAATGCACACCTTTCCTCCTTCTGGAATCCGGGCAAGAGCTAGGTTTTTAAAGTCACAGTATACAAACTGAAGAGCTTTAATCAAAGAAACTCATTTAAAGTTCATTCAATTCAACCAGTTTTACTAGGATACCCTTTTAAGAATAATCACAAAAAATTAACACGTTAACATCCCTGGTTCTGCAACTGGATATGCATATCAGTGTATGCTCATGCAGAGCCCACTGACTTCAACAGGGATCCAATCATAGGTATTTAGAGAAAATATCAGGGTTTAAAACTAGAATGACGTATCATCACAGCACATGTATAAATAGAATTTATAATGAGAACAATTTATAACTGGATCTCTCAAGTGTATTTTAACAACCCCTCACAGCAGTGGCATGTTGGCTGTCATTGTCCCCTTGATTTACCTGTGGCAGATCAGGGGGTTAAATATCATGCCTGTGTTGGGGTTGACTGTATTTTTACTACTAGATAAGGCAATGGATTTGTACAAGATAATTTGGATAGGGATGATCCTGCCTTCGTGGGGTTTGGACTAGATGATCTCCAGAGGTCCCTTCTAACCCTCCTTTTCTATGATTCTATGGTGTTGCAAGCAGCAAAGAATTTGCAAAGCAAGCATCTGAAGGTTATATATTCATGCACTTTCACTCTCTGAAAACAACGCCTGCTGTTTTTTCAGTTATCATTGCATTTATTTTAAAGCTTCTTGGTGACAAAGTTTGCCAAAAAATTCAAGAGAATATATTCGCACCTCCATGCCCAAAATGGGATAGTTGCAGAGTACTTATTTTAACACAAAGTGAGAAATGGAATTAAAAAGGAAAACAAAGAGCAAGCATCACACCCCACACCTACCTACAGGAGTGTCATAGGACTCCACAGTTCGTGAAAGAAAAGCTAAGTCATAAAAAGGAAACAAAGTAGAACAAACAAGAACAATAAGCTACTTTAAATAATATATAGCTATATAGCTCAAGTACTGTTATTCAGCAAAGCAGGAAACATTACCAGGGGTGAGAATAAATAATATATATATCAAAGCTGAATTTTGCCAGAGATTTTTTTCATGGGTGCTGTGTTATATTACCTAGACATTTTCAGTGTAGAACGTATCTATATAACACTACTACTTTGGAGCATAATAGGAAAAAAGATTATTATACAAGACTTCAATATGACATTTAAAAAAAATGTAAAAAATGTCCTAATTACACATTTAAATAACTTGTTCTTATAAACAGACTGGTTTTTAAAATATAAAAAGTGTGGATTTACCTTGGTATCTCTGAATCCTGCCTTTTCCAAAGGGCATAGGTAGATTCAATGGGATGTAGTGTTCATGATTACATACCACCCGGAGAAATTCAAATTTGAATTCAAAAAGGGTCTGAAAAAATATTTCAAATGCAAATTATACATTTTAATAATTTACTAAATATTTGGTAATGTAAAAACATTTTTTGACACTAACTGATAATTTCTCTTAAATCTATTACGCTAAGGATTGCAAGTGTCATTCCATGCAGACCTAGTACTGTGCTGAACAGCTCCATGTTAGCAAAAGCTAGAACTAGTTCTTTATTCAGTCTTTGATTACAAATGTTTGTCAAGTCAGCATACAGTGGCATTCATAGAATTAAGAGTTGCCTGGAAATCTGGAAGAAATCCTGTACACTTGCTATCTAGGACCAAAGCATATGAATCACAATGTGTAGGGACATCTCCAATACTAAAGGACTCTAATAACTGTTGTCGGTGTTCTTCCTGCAACTTTCATGACTGTCTAAAATATTCATTAATGCTGTTCCATCCATTTAATGGCTAGGGATGTTAACGAATGGTACAGTCCCCACAATACTACTTGGAAGGTTACTTTGCCACTCCTACTGGTCCAAGATGCAGAAGTAAGAAAAGAAAACTAGAGACAAAAAGTGGCGTAGTCCTACCAAACAAACGGGAGATTTAGCTTAACAATATGTCTGAATATAAGTGGAAGGAATTCTGAGATCCCCACACAGAAATTTACTACATACATGTAAACAAGAAACCCCTATGGACAAAGGTCTCGAATGCTTCAGTACCTTTGGCTCTCCTGGAGCAAAGCAGCTGATGTAGTTATTAATTTGCTTAAATACAAAACCCCTATCCATGAAGGTGAAACATCTCTGAAAAACAAAAGGATAAATTACTATAAGTAGCAAATGCAAAACTTTATGTAAAGTCAGTCACCAACTTTTACAAGATTATCTTCCAAGCACATTTGCTGCTCATAGTTTACTTTGAACATAATGCTAATAAATCAAGCAGTCTACATTACAGAATACAAATTTGCTTTATTTTACAAGAAAAAAATGACATTGAATATTTAAAGAGAAAACTTAACTCCATTTTAGATAGCACAAAAAGTGAGCAAATAACCATGGAACAGTACTTAAATCTTCTAAAAATATTTTTTCCACAGAAAAACATTTAGACATTATAATATGTAGGAATCAATTTTGACAGTAATGAATAATAAGCTCTGTGGAACACACAGTGATAGTTAAGATACATTACTCAATACATTTAAAAAAAAAAAAAAAAAAAATCAGCATATGCTTAAATCATTGCAACATTAGAAGAATAACTGGGTTACAAAATATGAAGAAATCTGAGACGTAATAGAAGGAAGTACACATAGAAATAAAGTTTGATTTTTAAATATATATTCTATGCACCCTTTGCATATTAAAAATGTCTTTTCAAATTGCATTGGGTACTTAAATTACTCTTCTGCACTTCTCAATATGCCCAGTCAGAAGTACATGCAAAATACTTTCCATATATGCTTTTCATTATAAGCTTCTGAAGCATACACTGCCTTAAAATCTATAAGAAATAAAATCTATGAAGATGAACTTATGAGCTTAGATCCCATGTTTGTGTGTACCTACCTTTATAAAGACTGCAAGGCTATGGTTTGCATTTTTGGAAGCTTCTGGGTTGTCTCTGTACTTCTGAGTGATGTGTGGCATTAACATATTAACAACTGTTTCTACTGCATGATGAAAAGAAGCAGGAAATCTCTGGTTTCGTAACAACTGGAAGCAGAATTTAAATTACATATTTAACATTTCAGAGTTCAAAGCATATGATTTGCTGAAAACTAAGGTCGTCTTAATTCATCCCCCCTTTTTCTCCCCTACATTCATCCCCCTTTTCTCTACCCCCCACCCAGCCCATCTCTCACCCACTGACTCCTCAATTTACATCTTCACTGACTCCCTGTCTTGCATGCATACCAGCCCAGCCTCTGGCTTCTTTACTATTCATTCCATCCACGAAGAGCACACACCAACTGCAGAGGCTTCCTCAGCCTGACAGAGTTTTAATACCCTGAAAGCTTGCTAAGAAAATTTTTTCTCCAACTATTTAGGTTCGTCTAATAAAAGATAACAGATTCATCCAAAGAACCTTGTCTGCCTATGTCCTTAGACCAACACAGCTATACCCTACAGCCCTGTAAAGTTGTCTTAAAGCACTTTCAAAAAGGTAAGGAAAGGAAAACATTAACATATCAAAAGTTTTAACTTCTAATAAAAAAAACAAAGTTTAACAAATGCAGATACTCATTATAAATCTTTAAGTTCAGAAAAGGGCCAATATTTGGTTGAGAAAATTTCTGAATGAAAGATTTCAACCAGTTCTAATTATTATTATTTAGAATCCACGTTTGAATGAATTTTTCACATTAAAAGCACTTTTACACATGCTCCGTGGGTGGGGGTGGATGGCATTTAAATTAAGAATGGCTTCGAGAGCCACTGTAATTAAGGTGCCGCCAGGTCTCCTGTATCAGCATCCCCACACTTAACAATGGTGGTGGGGATGCTTGAACTAAAACTCATTTGATGAGCTTTAGTTCAAGCACCCCTGCCGTCACTTTTAAGCATGGGGATGCTAATACACAAGACACAGGAGGCTGCTACAGTGCAGCAATTGCCACACTCCAGCAGACTCGTTAATTGCTCCAGCCTCCTCCTCGATTAATTGAGTCTGCTATAACATGCTGGAATTCCAGTGCATCAAAGCAGCCTCCGCACTTGTGTATGGGCACCTGAAGATAGCAACTATGTGCAGACCTGGATGGCATTTTGGGGCGAGGGGCTGCTTTAATGAAGCTCAACTCTGAGAACAGGCTGCTTCCAATGTGGCCTGTGTCACTGCCAGAGGCAGAGCCAAAGTCAATGCCAGAGTTGCACAGGGTGGGTGAAGCCCCCACCACTGACATGCCATAGAAGCCCCACTATTCTATGGGTCAAATAAAATGGCTTCATGGGCCTGGTCTGCCAACACCTCCATGCCCATTTAAGACAAATTTGAAAGTACTAGCTCACTTAGTAGAAACCTAGTGACATACCATATTTAGTCAAATAGAAAATGACCCCCGATTATAAACTAACCTCCCAATAATTAGATTTTATATATGGAAAATGTATAAATTTATTATAATTTTCCAAGTAGAGAATCTAATTTTTGGAGGCTTGCCTTGCATTTAGTCATAGAGAAGTAGGGCTGGAAGGCATCCCCAGAGGTTATCTAGTCCAATCCCACTGTCCGAGGCAGGATCATCCCTATCCAAACCATCCCATACAAACCACAATCTAAAAACTCTATGCAAGACTATCCACAATCCTGACAAAACAGACCTAAATACTCTTATGTGCCCCAGGTAAAGCAGGGAAAAATTCCTTCCTGACCCCAAGTATGGCAATTGGTCTGACCCTGAGCAGAGGGGAAAAACCCTTTCACCAGGAACCTCTGGCTTTGGTCCTAACAGGAACATTGACACTCCCCAGTCAAAGACCCCAGCCTTAGCTGTAGCCAACACCCAATGCCTCTGAGCAAGGCTTAAAAACACTCTGATACATGGAGTAGAATGGGTGGGAGGAAACTAGCAAAGCCCAGAAGCATGGGAAATACCCATAGCAGAACATAGGCATAGTGGCTGTTCAGCCTCTTCTTGAACACCTCCGGTGATGGAGGGTACATAACTTCCCTAGGCAGTCTATTCCATTGCCTCACTATTCTAACAGTGAAGAAGTTTTCTGGATATCCAGTCTAAACTTACTCTGCTGTAACTTCAAGCCATTGGTCTGTGTTCCCCACTCTGCAGCAAAAGAGAAAAAGGTGTTTTTCCTCTTCTCCATGGCAGCCCTTCAAGCATTTGAAGACTGCTATCATGTCCCCTCTTAAGTGCTTTTTCTACAAGCTTAACCTGCCTGCTCTTTTAGCCTGTCCTCATATGACTTGCCTTTCAAGCCCTTGATCATCTTTGTTGCCCATCTCTGGACCCTCTCTAATTTCTCCATGTCTTTTTTAAAATGTGGAGCCCAGAACTGCACACATTACTCCAGATAAGGTCTAGCAAGTGCTGAGTAGAGAGGCACTATATCACCTCCTGTGTCTTGCACCTAATGTTTCTGTTGATGCAGCCCAAAACTACATTGGCCTTTTATGTGGTTGCATCACACTGCAAATTCATTTTGAATTTGTGGTCTACTTTTGTTATCTCCTTCCTCAACTTGGCCCCCTTCTACTGTGATGTCAGGGCCTTGGGAACAGAGTTGGAGTTGCAGAAGTCAGACAAAGGAGAAACTGGGGGAAGTCTAAAATCTCTTGCTTAGGGCAAGGATGGTATTCTGTTGCTGGATTCTTGGCTCTGATGCTCTTTCCTTTCCTCTGACATTGAGGCTGCAAATAGATGTCACACTTTTATGCCACCATAAAAAAAAAAAATTATGGCCACACAAAGTGAAAGCAAACAGACATCCATGCCCTTCATCAAACCACAAATGCCCAAACTGGTAGCTAGCAACAAAAGGTAGTATAAATTTGTACTGCTGTTTTATAGTGAATGCCTGTTCGTTTTAAAGAGAGCGGACATGGGCAGCCAAGAGCTGTCTGCCCAGAGCAGTGCTCTGGGGGCTTCAGAAGCCCAATCCTGTCTACCCCATGCATTCCCCTGCAGGAAGTTCCCGGGATGCACAGGATCAGGGCCCTGAAGCCCTGGGAGTGCCTGTTCAAGTTTCTGTGTTTGCAGAGGTGAGTCCTGAATTGGAATCTCTGGGTTCACCTCTGCAAGTGGGGAAGCCTGGAGTTTCCCTATTTGCAGAGCTGTGCCCCAAGTATTGTCCCACAGGCAACTTCAGAAACGGCAGGGGCCAGACCCTATAAGACAACAGGTGATGTCCATTTTGCCCGATGAAGCAGACGAGCTGCACAGGGACGTGCTGCGGTACAGCTAATACACTTCATTCAGTGACGTCCGCTTATAGCACGAGGCTGTAAGAGCAGGTACAAAGAGAAGAGAGCACTCTGAAGGAGATGTTTTAGTTCACTAGTGCTTCAGTGGGATAAAATTGATCTCTCTCAAGAGTTCTCAGTGTTGGAAGGTAAGGACAATGAACTTTTCCAGGACAAATAACTTCAGCTATGTCTCCACGCTTTTGAAAGCCTTAGAGAACAGTACTGTTACATGCCATTTGCTCTTGCTAATAAGATATTTAAAAAAAAGTGACAGAACTACAAAATAAATGCTTCATATAATTCAGGAAACCTGGAGTCTGTCATGATGGGGCAGTCCCTGTAGAGCAGGGGAGGGCAAAATATGGCCTGCAGGCCACATCTGGCCCACCAGGCAATTCCATTTGGCCTGTGGCACGCACCAACAAATTGTACCTTGCCCAGCCCTTCTGCTTGCAAAGGTGGGAGTGGGGTGCCCACAGATGTACCCCTCCCTGCCCAACATACCCTATTGCGGGTCACTCCCACCCTCGTGAGCAGAAGGGCCCAGTCTGGCCAGCATGCAGCTTCTGGATGGGACTGCTGCTGCCACTGCTGCAGCCACCAGGGGACCTGCTTGGCTTCCCCCGCATCCCACTCATTCCAGGCAGCAGGTAGGTAAGGGGTGGGGGGTAGGGGCAGAAGCTGCAGCTGGACAGGGGTAGGGAGCACGGGGCTGGGGCTGGCTGCAGTGTGGAGCCTGCACCCAGGAGGACCGCAGCAGCATGGAGCTCAGCTGGGCAGGGTGGGTGAGGGAGTGTGGGGACCCCTCTATACTCCCCCCATGGCGCACAGTCCCGCTGGCAGCAGCAGCAGCAGGTGGGGGCGCTCATACCTAGCACAGCTGTTGGAGTCCAGTGGCACGCGGCTCTGGCCAGTGCTGCACATCACAGTGAGGAGCGCAGCCCTTGCAGGTCCTGGGACTCCATGGGGAAGTAGGGGCCAGGGTTCTTCTGTTGGAGTCCCAGGACCTGCACTGGCTCCAGTGTGTGGGGGGGAGCCAGTTTTGTCCTATGCATAAGTGCACAGGACAGAACTCCCACGATAGAGGTGGCCTAGCGGGGGCTGCACTCCTCACTACAACATGTAGTGCTAGCCAGAGTTGCATGCCACCAGGTGCCAGTACCTGTATTAGGCACAAGCATCCCTGCCTGCTGCCACTGCCACCTGCAGGGCTGCACACTGGGGG